TGACTAATGGTTTCCGCAACCTTGAGGATGAAATCCGGTGATTGAATGGAGAATGTGCAAGCCATGTCTAAGTTGTGAGTTGTGTTCATTCGTTTTACGAGGCATTCAAAAATCTTGTGGTGACATCGCCCGGGGTCTTTCTATTTATTAGTTGTGCACGATACGATGTGATGAGGCTCATGTTGCACCACTTTTCTGGTGCTGGTTTGGCTTTCCATTAGTACTTGTGTAGTTCGAATCATGTGTTCCAGTTGCCCCCTCAGTTATTTATCTAGAATAAGAGATTAAGCATGTTCTTTCCTTTGTACTTATTCAATAAGTTCATTTTAGTTAGAAATTAAATGGCTTCGGGCTTTGTGAGTTTATAGAAAATGTGGACTGTATGTGCAATGTATTTTATGGGTGGAATCCAGTGTTGTAGCAAGATGAGCTCTTCAAAGAAATTGTATGCTGAGTTTTAGCAGACCCCATATCTAGTCCAATGAAAATATAAGCAATAAAATAGAGATGGGTGCGTCTTTATTTGAGATGCTATGATCCATATTATCACTCTTCTGACCAAGTCTAACTCCATATGGGTTGTGTTGCGGGGTTACATTTTGCTTGAAGAATTTCTAACTCCATTTACTTTTTATCCTGATTTTCATTTTTTGGGGAAATTATTGTCCCCTTTTATATAAGTAATTTAATCAATAAAAAGTTTCATAATGATTTGACCAAAAAGAAAGTTTGATAATGAATGAGCAGCACATTATAACAAGTTATGGTAGAGCAATGATTGGCAAGAGTGCTTGTTATGATTGCATAGTGATCCTCCATTCTTTTTTGAGAAAATGACAAATAAAAACTCTCAATATGTGAAATTATGATTTGGGACTCTCAGTTTGAAAAATGATAAATAAAGACCTGATCTTATATTGCAAATATAAAATATTGGTGAAATGTCTGAAATGTCCTTTAGCCAAATGACAAGTTAACTATAGGAAATGACAAGTTCACTTTAGTAAATGACAACTTCAGTAGATCAAGTCACAATTTGGCTGAGGGTATACCAAATGACAAGTTGATTATGAAAAATAACAAGTTTATTCTAACGAATGACAATTTCAGTAAACCAAATCACAAATTGGTTGAGGGGTATTTCAGATACTTTACTAAGATTTCATATTTGCAATATATGACCGGGTCTTTATTTGCCATTTTCCAAATTAAGGGTCCCAAATCATAATTTTATATATTAGGGGTCTTTTGCTCTTTTTTTCCTGTATGTTCAAATAAAAAAGAGAAAATAACAAATAAAGGCCCTTGAATTACCAAAATTACAAGAAAGTCACTTGAATAAGTCAAATTACTATGAGGGACCCAGTCCCATATTGCAAATATGAAATTTTGATGAAATATCTTAAATGCCTTTCGGTTAAATTGTGATTTGGCCTACTGAAGTTGTCATTCGCTAAAATGAACTTGTCATTTCCTATAGTCAACTTGTCATTTAGTATATCTTAAGTGAAGTTGTAATTTGGTCTATTGAAATTGTCATTTGCTAAAATGAACATATCATTTCCCATTATCAACTTGTCATTTGGCATACCTTTAGTGAAGTTATGATTTGGTCTATTAAAGTTGTCATTCGCTAAAGTGAACTTGTCATTTTTTATAGTTAATTTATCATTTGGCTTCAGACATTTCACCTAGATTTTATATTTGCAATATGGTACTAGGTCTTTATTTGCTATTTTTCAAATTGAGAGCTCCAAATTGCAATTTCATGTATTAGAAGTCTTTTCCCAACATTTTATGGGAAAAATGATGAAAAAGTAACTTTAAAATTGATGAATGACGGATCAATGATTCCTTTTTAAAAAAAAAAAAAAACCAGAATCAATGACTCTAATTTGAATAATGCTAATTCATGCCTTATGTAATATTGTGAAATGATGTTACTGCTCGTTACTTTTCTTAAAAAGAAAATGCCGCAGGTATCTCTAGTTGGAAGTCGGCCATACGGCCCTTCTTGCTGCTAGTCACTGAATGAGTGGGAAAACATTTTGAACCAAATCTTACATAGTGGCGTAGCAACATACCGCAAGTCCCGCAATAAAACAGATTGAAAAACACTAACCCACACACCACCTACTATATATATTTTTATTTTTTTAGATATAAATATTTTTCTATTGGAGTCAATCCTACTTAAAGTATTGTCAAACATTAAATGTGAATATTTGTCCCAACAAATATTTAAATATTAATTCATCACGTTATAAAAAATTACTTATTTTCAGTAGACCCAATCTCCTTGGTCGCACGAGCTATTATATTGAATCCATAAAACTAAGGAAGCAATTATGTGAATGCCCAACATGAATTGCATCATACTTCCTTCAATACTTATTATAAGCCATAGTTAACATAATTTGTCTAAAATATTAATTTTTGTCCGTCTAACATATACCTAATTAACCATAAAACTTTCTAACTAGCAACTATAAGCAAACTTTTCTAACTAATATTATCTCCTATTCTAAATATAAAAGCAAAACAAAGAGTTTACTTTAATTTTAAATACAAGACATCAATTATTTTTGTTTTGCAAATTTATAATTATAATTTTCTATTTAAAGTATTCATATTAGTTGCAAGTAGTAAAGGAGTTTCTATCAATGAGTGCTACAATGTACATGGTTAGAAAGAAAATTTTAGAAAATTAACATGCTGTTATTTCAAATAATTAATTTAACTAATTTTTTAATAATTACAAATTAGTTATCTAGATTTTATATTAACGAAGGGAGGAAATATAATTTGAACTGACTTTATTAATTAGTTTGTGTAAATTATTATTAAATATTTTAGGGGGAAGGGAGAAACATTGTGCGAGATTTGTTATGAATTTTTTAATAAATGGATATGATTACTAAAAAGTTGTATTGATAAAAAAACAGATTACAATGATAAATTTTAAGGTAGAAAATGCTTGTCATCAAAACTTACTGATAATTTTTTTGTCTTTTGAGAGCCCGACATTTTTTTCCCGTGAGCTAGCATATGGGACTTTTGCATTTTGTTTTCACTCATTCTAACCACAAAGGCTGTTTGGGTAAAAGCCAAACTATTATTTTAAAAGTACTTTTACAGTATACAAAATAAATATATAGAGAAGATTGTCTCATTTTGCAGAAAAATGTTTTTTAAAAACACTTATTAGTGACATCACCATGATACAAACTCTAATGAGTTAAAGTATTTCACACTTATATTTTGGTGAAGGTGATACAATTCCGTCATTTTTTTAGGTGACCCATTTGGTATCCTAGGCATACTATCTTTAAGGAACATCAACAGCCTAGACTAATCTGGATTCACTAATTGTAGGCACCTTGAAATGTGAGATAGTTGGCCAGGAAATTTAACGCTTTCCATGTCCAAGTGGCAATCGAATCCTCGATCTTTGTTAAGAGAGGATGAGCTTTTACTACTCAACCACCCACCCCTGGTTACAATTTCGTCATTAATTGATAGACATGTGTTTTTGGCCAAAAATTAATTGATAGATATTCAAATAAAGATGCATGAATGAGCTATTAAAATTGGAAAATTACGACACTCTCATTTTTTTGTTACCTTAATTAATTTTATTTTTTTAAAATCATTTTAAAGTAATTTTCAAATTTTTTTTATCTGTGACATTTTCATTTGCTTGTATATCGATTTATTTTTTAATATTAAAAATGATTTTCAAAAGTTTAAAATTTTAAATATTGAATAAAATTAAGAAATAGACAACATACAGATTACAGGATAAAATTTAATCAAAATAATAATAATAATAATACATACAAATAAAACCTTTAAGATGTTAAAAATACTCTCTATCCACAGCATGAACTAGTTGATGAGTTTAATTTGGTGATTTTGATTTACATTATTTCTCTAGTTTATAATTTCTGTGGGCTACTTCTATTAATTAAATAAGCATGTATAAGGCACTAGAAACATATTTCACTAAAAAAACAAATGAAGGACACGTTTATACATATAAAAAATTTAATGATATAACTTATGCATAATGAAAAAAATAATCTCCTTATCTTATCAATAGGAGTATATGACTGGAGGATTTACATAAATGAAGATAGCTTTCAGTACAAATAATCAAACAAAATATTTGAAGAAAATTAACACATATTTTATAATAACTAATTCAATAAATTTTCTCAATTTTTATAAATTAGTTATATGGCTCCTAAATTTAAAGTTGGAGAAAAACATACTTGGCGTTTGTAAGATTTATAAGCCCTGGAAACGAGAGTTTGAACCTCATAGATCATATTCCAATTCAAGTAGAACATTGATTCTCATGATTTCACAAACAAACAAAAAAAATTCAATAATACATTTTACATGTTACTCTTCCGGTCCTAAATATAAGGCCAATTTTGTAATATAAATTATATTACAAAATGGGTTTTATATTTAGAACCGAAGGAGAATATTTTTATATTTTTAACTTCATTATGTTAAAAATTTTATACGAGATACTCTTCCGATTCTTATTATAAGATCTAATTATTGAGTTAATTTTGGCCATAAATATAAGATTTATTTATCATATTTGTTAATTTTTTTTTAAATTATCCTTGTGGATACTCCTTCAATTATAATCAAATAGAAGAGGGAGGAAGAACATTAAGGAAGATGATTATGGTGTTTTAGGAAAAACATGTCATATTTTTTATAATTAACTAACTTACCTAACTTTCTTAATCTAATCAAATTAATTAAATAGGTCTTATATTAAGAACAAAAGAGTATGATTTTTTTTTTTTTTCGTAACATGATAATTGATTCACATTTTTAAGTTTATTTACATTACTTTATCTGGATTTTAAAATCATCGAAGTTCTCACATCCGTATTAACGGCATAATCGAAATTACATATTTATCCCCACTGTGGATGCAAGCTCCGATTGACGACGCCAAGACAATTTATGTTCGGTCATCTTCCTTCTTCTTCACCTGTTGATTGAGGTCATTGAAGCTGGTGGATCCAAACTTCTGCGATCGAGCTTGTGTCGGCTTTAGTGCGTCTTGAACAATTAAGTTCTGATACAAGGGCCTGTTTTTCATGGCGCGGAACTGGAACAGGTATCCACTTCTCTAAATTTCTTCTTTTGCATTTTTCTGTTTAATTCTTGCACTTGAAGATTGGCATTTTCTGCGTTGATAAAATTGTAATTCTCATTACTAGCTTCCCTTCTTTCTAATTACTGTTATCCAGTCTGCGAGTATTCTTAATAGAAAGCTATTTTATTAATTAACGGCTCTTCGAAACAATCCAGCCCTGACTTCCATGTTGCAAGATATAAGTGTTGAATAGCTAGTTTGGGAGCAAATTTTATCTCCCTCTTTCAAATTCGGCTTCTTTGGTAATCAATTTTTATTTAATTCAAAAGGTTCTGGAATCTATTCCAATTTATAAGCGTGTGGCGGCATTCCATCTTGATATGGGATGTTTTGGTATGAAATGAGATTTTTATGCAATTGATATTAAAATAACATTTCCCCAAGAAAAGGAAACCAAAATCTTCCCTTTATGGTGAATGTTGGGGTCCAGAACATTACAATACTAAGAGTCTTTTGTATTTTGGATTTTTTTCTTCTCTCTCTGATTATATGGAACTGAAGCTAAGAACATTTATCTGGGCAGATGATAGTATCTTTTGACACATCATAGGCTTACCATTCATAGAGCTTCCTTTTCCCCTTAACAGAGGAGTTTCAGAAGAAAGCCAGTTATGGTTTGGAAACGTCAAGTACAATTTATGCAGTACTTATGCCAAATTGTTGTGCTCCCGTCATTTTGGATATTGTGTCCAACTCCTACTCATAGGATTCTTTTTTTTTTTTTTTTGGGGGGGGGGCCTAAAAAAGCAAAAATGAATGAGACTTTATTAAAGTATGACCTTTCCCTTCGGTGTTGTTTATGGAAGAGAATGACATCTTTCCCAGATTGTTTGACAGGAAAGAAAAATGCTGGAAGCAAATTATTCTAGATAACTGTTAGTAGCCAAACCATGTCTTGTTTCGCATACAATAATAATGGCTTGACTCAACAATGTTAGATTCTGCTTCCTCATAAGTATATTCTTTTATCAATTTGCAGGGGTCTTACTTTATGTTGAAATGTTCTGCGGAAGTTCTAATGCTGGGAATGAATCTCACTATTTAATCCTGATTATAAGTTTTTCGAAATGCAATTAGCATCAAATGGTAACAAGGAAGAATGTTCAGAGAGTGAACCCATCTTGAATCAACATCACGATTTGGAAGAATCTGGAGAACCTCCATGTTCATGTGAAATTACAGATGCTGTAGGGCATTTGGCTGCTGATGATTTACAGAATATTCAAGTTGATGAAACATGTCATCTGGTAAATGGAGATCAGCCGCAATGCCGGATATGCCTTGATAGTGGAGGTCCATACAACCTTCTAATGAATTTACTTGGCTATATGACAAGATAAAACTATTGAAAACATAAAAGACTATACTTGTGAGCTTACAAGAAACATATACATGTAAAAATTACAATTCGCTGAATGTCAAAATAAAATATATTTTCCAGGAGAAGATATAATTGCTCCATGCCATTGCAAAGGTACTCAAAAATATGTCCACAGGTCATGCCTTGATAACTGGAGGTCTACCAAGGTAAATTCCTAGTTTCTTATTTTTACCCCCATTTCCTAAATCATGTAACTAATAAAAACAGTTGAAATACTATTTTCTAATTGGAGATCAACTACCAATTTTTACTACTTTCAAAGTCTGGGGAGGGATTCTACCATCTGACTTGGGCTTGTACTTACTTTTCGTTCCTTTTGTTGTGACAGGAAGGCTTTGCTTTTTCACACTGTACAGAATGCAGAGCTGTCTTCGTATTGCGTGCTAATGTCCCAAATGATCGGTGGTGGTTAAGATTAAAGTTTCAGTTCCTTGTTGCGAGGGATCATGCGTTTATTTTTATAACTGTTCAGCTGGTATGTGACTAATAAGCCCATTTTAGTGAATTTGATACTTTTGTGTAAATGCCATTACTTTTATCCTTCCTTTAAAGTGTTTGGAAACTTAATTAATTTAATAGACTAGTATCCCCTGATGAAGATCTTCTAATATTGCCAACATGAACGTATAGGTATTTGTTATTTCTCCAGTTAGCAATGGAGTGTTAGCCATAATTGTGTTGGCTAGTGAAGTCCATGTATTAATGGGATTTTAGTGAGGGCAGCATCATGCATATTGAGATACCATTTGTGTTTCCTGTCTAACAAAGGCAAGTATTTTTATAGAAACAATATTTGACTGGTTTCTGGCTTGCACAAGTTTTCATGAAATTTCCATGGATAAATCCAGCATTGAAAACAGCATCTTTAGAAAGGACAGGTTTGCAAGACTGCTTGAAATCTAAATTCTGAGCTTCATAATTTGAACTTTGACATAGATGGCATCAGAGGTGTTAGTTCTGTAAATGGTATACTACTATGTAAAGGCTTGAGCTTAATAACTTTTCTGTCAGTTATGTTCCAAAGCAATAAAGTTTAGCAGTTCCTTATATTTGACTAAGACTTCATTGAAACTGAAGCCATGCTGACTGCTGTGGGTGAAGTGTCAAAACACATAGTATAAATCTCCCAGTCTTTTGTTGCTTGGTATTCCAATCAAACATGTTTGGACTAGATTGCACTTGCCTTGATGTAATTTAGCAAAGGCCATTCTTCCAAGCCGAGTCTAAGGAGTTCATAGGAAATTCATTGCGTCCTGTCTCCAAAATATTGACAAAACTATATTCAAATTCTTAACTGTGTAACCGCAAAGGACGAGTTCTTTTCCTTTCCTTGGTCAACCCTTGGAACTAATATCCTAATACTTCAAGTATAGAATTTATTTTATTTTATAAAATCCCTCTCTAATTAAATAAAAACTTCTCAAAGATTGGGGGGGAAAGAAGTAACCAAATAAGATTTACATTTCAAGGTTCAAGTTTAAAGCTTAGAAAACCAGTCATATTGAGGATCATTTCCCACTGAAATAATTTTTTGATACGATACCATGTTATATAAATGTGTTTCAGCGTAACTTTTTTCCCTTGTAAGTAATGTCTAGTAATTTCTTTTATCTTTCAAATTCTAACAGGTTTTTTCATTCTACAGGTTGTTGCATTCCTGGGAGTGCTTGTGTACAAATTTTATGGAGATGAATTGAGAGAAATGTTTGGTTATGAAGAGCATCCATATGGATTCTATACCATGGCTGGTATATCCATAAGTTTTTTTCTCCTGACATTGTCGACAGCTTTTTGCTTCGATTGTAATTTTTTTGATGCCTGTATGTTCATAGTAGCTTTTACAGATGATAAAAAAAAAAATTGCTAGTATGTTCATAGTAGTTGTTAGAGATGATAATAGTAAAATTATTCTTGGGCTTTAACTTTGCAAGTAAAATGGTGCTTACAAAATAGTTTATCATCAAATTAAAAATTCAATTGTATTGTTCATCCAAAAACAATCAATGCTGCTTGTTTGGCTGACAAGTTATCAATCTACTAACAGCACTATATGGGCTAGTGGGTTTATTATTTTAGTTTATTTTGCAGTTCTAGCCATCATTTTGGTGGGTTTGCTTTATGGCTTCTTCATAGCCATTATATGCGGCCAAAGAATCAATGAACGTCATTACCATGTTCTTGCCAAACAGGAATTGACAAAGGTTTGCTGTCTAATCAATGGTTTCCATATTAGTATGCATATTCTTATAATTTTCATCAAATGAGTGGTTTTGGTCTAATACTATTAAATGAATACTTCAACACAAAAGCCTGGCCAAATTATAATATGAACATTTTGCATGATCAAATTGTTAGGACCCTTGTATAGTTGAATTGAATGCAAGCATATTTTTACTTAGGTTTGACCATAATGCTTGCTAGTGTGCAAGTTCGATGATGACTGTTGTTAAGGCTATACTTAGATTATTCGTGTCTAATACTATTGACCATTAAATACAAGTTTATCTATCCCATTTTACATAGGTCATATGGCATAATTGCTTCTTCAAAGCTTGTCATTTACATATTTGTATTGCATCATATATGGATGACAATCAATTTCATGATGTTAGGAATACGTGGTAGAAGATCGAGAGCATATAAAGAATGTACCTGAACTTGATCCAAGTCATGTGACAGAATTGAGAATGCTGGGTCTATACTAATTGGTAAGTATGCATTCAATTGTGTCTCATTAGATTTTTTGCTTCTTTAAGAGCCTAATAAATTGAATTATGCAGATTTACTTTCAGATCATTTTATTCATGTTATGCTATAGTATCATAATGAAATATATTGAGTTATCCTTATTTATAGTAATTTCTTAGAAAAGTGATTATTTCAATGATTGCAATTATGGGTGAAGCTTTGCTTTGGATATGGATCCTCTGCAATGCTTATTTTTTCAATTACTTTACTGCAGCCTATTGGAGAAGCATAAATTTATTATAGATGAAATAAAAACATAAAAATGCTATAAATATTTTAACTTTTACGCAACAATTAGAGCACTTGAGACAGATGAGTATTGCGGGGATCCAAAGTCCTTGTTTTAATAGGGAACAGCACGTGTCTATTATCAAATTTCGCTTTGGCTGCTTTGGGTGTGACCCGGTGGCTGCATTGTTGTGCAGCACTTGGTTGGATTGTTTTGCACGTAATTCATGAATAATGTATGCATTATATTTGATATCCTGTTGTCTTGGACTCTTCACCTGTGTTTTTCTTCTTAAAAGAAGCTATGAGGTCATATGGTAACTTGGGGATGCATGTTTTGCAGAGTCACCCTGAATTTGTTACATTTGCTTCTTGTCTTCATGGTTCTTCACACATTCGTGCATCATTTGGTTCGTTGAGAATGAAGTCATGTTAATGTGGCTGTTTGGATGTAAGTTATTCATTGCTGAAATTGGAACAGATCTTCCTTGTGTTAACCATCAGCAAATTAACTCAAGGCAAATGGTTTATGGGTTACCACAATCGTCAAATGTACCCTGATTCTTTCTTTTAAATGCTTAGATTTCATAGAAACAAAAAGTATTGTTCAAAATTAGAGCCGAGAATATGAGTTGAACCCGCGGGTCGGATCCGTTAACCCGCCAAAAATGGTAGGTTAGAGGCCAACCCGTCACCACCTGAAAAATATGAGCCCGCTGCAGGTTGAGCCCGCCGCATTTTTTTTTTATATATATTAAAATATTCGGAGTAGGTGGATTGGAATTCTGGAAAGACAAGAAAGCTGAAATCCTACTAGCTACTACTGTCAAAATCAATGTTGAGCCAGCTTCAAATGTCATCACCATTAGAGATAATTAGATCAAGATGGTTATTCATTGTTGCATGTTGATTTTATTGGAAAAATTTATGTTTGAACTTGTGTTTTTATCATGTTTGGAGTTTGGACTTTGGACAATCGTATATTTTGTGTTTTAATGTATTGTAATTTTATTTGAATGCTTGAAATAATTTAAATCATTTCTGATTTTTTTAATTTTTGATTATTTATAAGAAAAAAAATTTAAAAAAAAAATTGGCGAGTTGGTGGGTTAGGGTTGGCAAAATACCAACCCGCCAAAAAACGGGTCTTTTGAGCCCAACCCGTATGACTCGCAGTCTGCTACGAACCAACCTTCAACCCGCAAGTTGGCCCGTTCTACCAGCCCTATTCAAAATGTGGTGGCAACTAAAAATTGAGAGTCAATATTGTTTCATGAAGTCTTATATAAAGTTAAAACAAATATCTTGATACCTATCTTTTCTTCCAAATTTTGTCCCTGGTAAAACATAGTTAATTTCAGGGTCTTGGGTTTAAGGCGACAAATTTCAAATCTATATATATTAAAAAAATAATTCATATTCAATTGATTATTGCCCCGCCTGTTTGCATAACAATGCCTATATAATTTTTGGCTGTCAAATTTGCATAGCATCAAATTGGGCAAAAAGTCATCAATAGGGATTGAGTCTAGCTGAAAGGGCTAGTCTTTTATAATGCAATGAATCAATATTAGAATTCTTGTTAGAAGAGATGTCCACATTTAATGCCCGACAGTATTTTAAATAAAACTGCCTCCAATGAAGAGGATATAGGTGCTTAACACCAAAAAAAAAAAGGGCAAAAAAAATATGCTTGTTATTCTTTGAATTAAAACATTGTACAGGAAGAATTTTCTTGGTAAATTAGTTGAGGATGTAATCCTACGTTTAAAAAATGTCTATTTTTAAGAACACAACAGTATTTGATGAGGAAAAGATGGTCCTGTCTGTAACTAACTACCAATCGCCTGTAAATTATAAATTTTTAAAAGTAGTTCATATTATAAAAACAAGTTGAGTTTCCACCTTTTCAGATCTTATATTGATTATATTAATGAGGATTCGACAAAATCTTACTCTACTCTACATAGACCGTGCTATGCTAATATGCCCTATTGATTCCTCACTCTTTAGATATACTATTAATCAAAGGGTCTTATTTTGAAATTTTTTTTGGGTCCCTAGTCTTCCTTTGCCTCTCTTCTCAAAATCAATCATGTTGTTCAATTCTTCTCATTATTACAACGTAATGAATTAATGTTCGAATTCCTGTTAAGAGATATACTCATATTTAGTGCTTGACAATACATCAAATAAAATTGCCTCTATATGATGATATATGTGCCTAGCTATATTAAAAAAAAAAAAAAACTCCTCACTAGAACTTCCTTCAACCTTCTCAGTACATATTCAAAGAGGCTTTCAAGAGTTTTTGAATAAAAAGACCAGCTCTTTAGAGTTGAAAGGTTATCTCCTCAAGATTGAGGACCAACACATTTAAGTCCATTTATTTTTTTCATTATTGAAACTTAACCAATTATTAAAATAACTCATCATTATTGTTCATCAATCACTGCTACTACATATGCTATGTAAGCCTCTTGATTAAACATCTTTAGTTTACCCACATATCATGTCTTGCACAATTTCATTCTCAGTTCACACTCACACGATCACATTTATACATCACATCCAGCTTATAGTTAGATATTGACGATAAAGATAAAAACCTTGATATTTTTCCCATTGTAAAAAAAAAAAAAAACTTACTCACAAGACAATCAGATATTGTTAATCTTAATGATAGTAGTGAAGATGATAATCATGTTGATGTTGCTAATGATGCTACTAAGCTTTATCTACTTTGTTTCTATCCTCATGATTTGTCTACACTATTTAGTTTTAGTGCTTTTCAAGTTTAGACAATAGATTATTAATGTTTGAGGTTTGACTTATATTAGCTTTGGAAGTTTGAATAACAACTTGACCCTTATTTTACTAATATTTATCAATTGAATTAAAGAATTTGAAAGATTCATTGTATCTTGGATATTTCAAAATATTTTTTTCTTGTGATCGAATTTTACGAAAGAAGTTGAACTCATCCACAATTTAAGAACAAAACAACTAACCCTTAAATCCATCCCTAATAAAGTAACATGAAAACCCATGAGTCAGCCTACATGCTCGACGGCTAATCTTCAATAGTATGATGATGTTACAATTTTTATTCAACCCTTTTAGACTCTAACCTATCAATAGCCTGCTCGAGCCAACCTTTTTTGACAGCTCCATAGTCCCATTATTGCCCCACACCAAATCTTTTCCTGAATCGTTATTGCAAAGGCTCTTTCAATCACGGGTTAGTATAATTTTCAATCCTTCAAGTTTACTCTCATATCCCCTTAAATTTCAAACCATTTTATCCTCTCAAGTTTTTTTTTCCTCATTTAAAGCATTAGTTCTTACAATCCAATAAAAATCTGAATCATTTTATCCTTTAAAACTTAAAAGACTAAAACCTATAATTTGAAACTTAAAGAATCAAAAACAAAATGAAAGTAAACTTAAAAAAACTAAAAATTATATTAATTTTTTATTCACCCTATATTATAAAGATTCATATTCAATAGCACCCAAGCATTCAATCCAAGATTTGCAGAACTTGATAGATACTCAGTTATATATGGTTCAAAAAACAGCTCGAGATTTTACTGATTAGTTCTACACTAGATTACTCATTAGTTGCAGAGAACAGAATAGTCTATCCAAAGAATCAGAATAAACCATAATACTGAACTTGATAATAATTTACATTGCATTCCAAGGTAAATATCTCTACAATTATACAAGTGGGGGTTATATAGCAAGTTTCCTCAGTGAATACGAACTAGCAATTATTATTTCTGCTTGCGAACAAAGTTGCATCTTTACAGCCCCTCCTGCCAAGAGATGGTCGCCACACCATCACACCACATAAATTTACATGTCTCGGTGAGCCTGCAAAGGTAGATAAAACACACTTAAAATCTGAAGTTGTAACAAGAAAATCAACACAGGCGATAATGCATAAATACAATTTCCATTTGGTGTATTATAACCCAGCACTCTCTGGTCCCAAAAGAGGGTGGAAAGAGCACTCTGCATATTCCTGAAGTTAAAATTAAGAACTTTCATGATACCAAGGAACCATAAAGATGCCAAGGATAGAGCCTAAGATCAACATATTAGGTAAGAATAATGATCCATTTCGTCCCTGTTTAATCTCCTATGCCATAGTTTAGTAATTCATTTTCTTAAATACACGCTACATTGAAGTAATATTAGAAACAAAGCATCAGTTTTGTTACAAAATAAAGAAAGTAACATAAATATAGCATCAGCTAAATACTCAAAAAGCTTTTCACTCTAATACTTAGTTCCTGAGATTCAACATAAAAGGCGAGGGCACTAAATTAATTTTTCAGCATTCCACAAATTGTATCATTGAACAGATAGATAAACAGCATGCCTACTACATCAACAGCAACCTTTATGTAAGAATTTCAAGTAATCGGATAACAACTTGAAAAAAGATATAGGTCAACTTGAGAAATAAATGTCCCCCGCACATTACCTCAGATGCAAGTGGATAGGAGCCCGTGTTCACCCCTCTTCGTCCTCAGATTGAGAATCAAAATTGGATGTTGTTTCCATCTCCACTGGATGGGGAGCACCACCTGAAAATAAAAACAAATCGCTGGTAAGTTGCAGAAGGCAACAATTTAATCACACGGATTAGATGAACAAAGACATGAATAAACCGAATGCCCCTAACACTGATTGATGAAATTATATTTAAGCCATTTGAAGGTGAATAGAAAACTACGAAACAATGGCATGGCCAGTTAGGCGCTTCTGTAATATAGGATCCGAATTAATGATATCAGGTGACATTCAATCATAATACAACTTATGCAACTAAACCTATGCATAAAGCCTTATAGCTTGTGCTATGCATAAACAATCGTTTGCTGAGGTACATTAGGAAATACGAACAAACATAATGTACTTCAGCAGTCAGCCACAATTGCTTTCTAATGTTAATTGTTCAAGGCATTCCGATTGAGAGGATCGTGTTGGGGCTATATGCAAGTAGCCTCTCAAACAATTGTCCAACAATTTGCCCAAAAAACTTGAATGGTCACCTATTTAAAGTTGAATCTTTATCCAATTTCATTCAATTGCATAAAGATAAAACATAATTTTGCTAGTAAATAAAAACGGCATCATCTGTTTTCCTTTGCAAAAAGTTTATCCATAAAGGTATGAGGGAGGAAAATTGACCTTGAATGAAATAGGAGGAAGAGGGCCAACCACGAACAGTGGTGATGGACATAGATTCCTCCTCAGTGATGGGATTAGCTAACTTGTCGAGCAATTGGGCAAGACCGTTGGATGCGGAGCGAGGCGGTGGGACCCAATAAGAGGAACCGGGGAGAAAGGGGAGCCAATCAGGCGCAGATCGGCGAACAATGATGCAGTGGATGGCATCCTCAAGTTTGCGAATCAGAGGATCGGCGTTGGAAGAGGAATCGAGGTCACCGACATCAGAAGAGGACTGATTGGATTGGGTTCGGTGAGGAAGGAGACGAGACGAGGGGGAGAGGGATTTGGTGGAGACAGTACGTCCGAGATAAGCTAGGGTTAGGGTTTGAGCTAGGGATCTTGCCATCGAAGAAGAAGACGATGATGTTGCAACTGAGAACGTATAAGAGAATTCGGATCAGGGAATCGCAAATGCTTAAATAGAGAACGGTGCAACTCTAGAAAGTGAAGAACGCGGTCTTTTTTTTCTCTTTTCTTAAAATTACCCAGAAAAAAAAAAGATAAGGGAAAATGACCCCAAAGTTCAAAATAAATAATGCTAAACCTTCCTGTTCTAAATATAAGACCCTTATACTAGAAGTATAAGGGTCTTATATTTAGAACTGGAGGAGTATTTTTATAAACGACTGAAATAGCTTTATATTTTATTTTTTAAAAATATCAAATTTATTATTGTCAGTATATTTTTTATCATTAACTGTTTAACACTCGTCATGACAATACATTTTTTATCATTTGTTATTCTGTACTTGCTATTGCTAGTTCACAACTTGATAATAAGCTTTTTGATATAAAAGTATTTTTGTCATTTAACTATATTTGCAAAATACCCTATCAGGTATCACTTCCTCTCTATGAGATTTTAAGTAGAATATTGTAATTTTTAACTTATTACTTTATCCTAATTTTAATTAATTAACCAAATTTAGTAGAGTCCAAACTCACGTGGATCGAGCCGAAGAGACCATAAAATGCGGCAAAGCCGCCCTTTGTGGTCTGGTTGAGACCAATCTATCCATATTTATATGTATTATCTATAAACCCTACACTCTAGGAGATAGGGTTTTGCTATTTTCTATGGTAATCTTCTAAATTAGTCTACCACCAAAATTGAAATAAAAGAGACTAATTCCTAATAACATAGCAAATCAAGATTTAAATCACTCTAAAAAAAAAAGTGCCCCATTTAATGTTAGTATGATTCTGACAATTCCAATCCATATCAACCTAGGTTAATAAATTATAATTAATTAAAGTTAATATAATTTTTAATCCTTAAAATTTGGCTTTTGAAAAACTTAGTTTTAATCCGTTTAATGATTTTTACTCCCCAGAATAATATATGAATGTTTTTGGATCCATACGTATAAAGTCAAATTTCAGACATCAAAGTATCAAACTACTAATTTCAAATTTCGGGATCAATGGTGAAAAGAACTAGAAGAATATACGTTAACAACTCTACAAAGTGACATTATGCTCCGCATACCCCTAGGCTGTTGCATTTTTCGTCCAAATTTCAAATACCACTAGGCTGTTGCTTTAAAGATGTGGTTTTACTCAAGGTTCCTTTTTTTAATAACTTTTCAAGGCATTACCAACTGACTTTATAATAAAAGCTATAATAGTTCATTAAACTTAGCTTGGTCCTTTATCATAATTTTAATTTTTAAGATCTTCTACAATAAAATGAGTAATTTTAGATTCTTTTCCCTATTTTTCCCTACTGTAACTTAGTCATAACAATGATCATTGATGACTATAAAATTTTCGTTTACAAAAAGAATGAGTGAGAGGGGCTTCGTCAGAACTCAAAGGATTTACAGGACACTACATGTACAGGTTTCTATTATAAATTTAAAAAGATTAATACAAAAATGCCTTAAATTTGACTTCATTTTAATTTTGATCCCTTAAATTTTAAACCATAAATTTTAGCCTTCAAGTTTATTTTTATTTATAATATTAGTCCTATAATCCAATAAAAATTTAGATTATTTTATCTTTTGAAAAACCAAAACCTATAGTTTGTAAATATGAGGGACAAAATTTATATTAACCTAATTAAAAACCTGATTAAAAGTGAAGTGAAATTGTAAAAGCTTGTTTGACAAAAAAAAAAAACAAAAAAGATATGATTAAAAATCTGCTAAAAAGGAAAAAGAAACTGAGAGGCTTTTAGAAATTTGGTGAAACTAAGACAAAATCAGATAAAATTCTGGTTACGAAGTTACAAATTAATTTCCCCTAGCTTTAAAGTAAACATAAAGTGGAAGCATTCTTCTAGAGGTCAGAGCTCCGACGACCTCTTCTTCTTCTTTTCACCACCAGATTTTGCAGCATATGCTTCTTCCCCCTTCTGCCCTCCGCCTGCTCCTCCTCCTTTGCTAAACCTGCACAACATTCCATCAACTTAAGTTTCCTAATTCTGAAGATCAGATTTTTGTAACTAAGGTGGCTTATGATTATTATTATTAGTACCTCAGATTTGGAGAAATGAAACGGGAATATGCTTCCTTCAACATCTGCCATTGCCACGTGGCTGGAGACCAGAGTTTAGAATAGAGAGAATAGAAGCTTTTAAGCTTCTGCCATGCCCAAAGGGATGTTGATGATGATGCTTTTGTATTCTGCTTCTGCTCTTCTTCATCGGCTGTGTTAGTAACAGTAACAGTAAAACACAAGCACAGGAATATGCATAGTACTATTAGAATGGCATTTTCGCTGCCCATTTGAGATGTGATTTGCAGAGGAAGTTGAGGTGGGACTATAAATATTAAATAGGCCAACCTTCCCCTTTTGGCAGAATGTTAGTCTCGCGACACGTTCGTCGTTTCCACCGCATTCTTCCCATACGTGTCTTTCTCAAAGCCCTCCTATCTTCTGTAATTATCTTCTTTTTTTATAACTTCTATTAAATTAAAAACATTAATTTATTAAATCCTAAATTAAGTTTGATAATAACACTTTTTAAATAAGTGACATTTTGACAATATTAAACTTACAAATAACAACACATTAAAAAAAATTTATTTAGAATTTAGTAATTTTAAATTTTGTGAGGATTCTCCCGACTTCTTCATAATTTGAATTAGAACCAACCCTTAATAATAATTCTTTTAACATGAACAATCAATGGAATAATTTAAAAGATTATAAATTAAGGTTTTATATTTAATATTAAAATAAATTTTATAATTAGCTGAGTATTTACTTCTCAAGGGGTTAGAACAAAAGTAAAGATTCAATCTGCGTTACGTAGCCCATGACTTGAAAATGAAAGCCCTGAATTTTATCTGGACATTGAATTTAGTCTATATTTGTATTCGATGCCTTCTAGTTTCTATATCCGTAATAAAACACATACAGGTATCTGCAAACCCTCCCCTCTTTTCTCAAAAGACGTTTCTGAAAATCATCTAATAAAAATTCAACTGAATTAAGAAATAGCAAGCCAAGGTACCATTTGGTTCCATTCTAACAACAGATTGTGAATCATAAACGGAGGATCTATGTCGCAAGCTTTTTTTTTTTTTTTTTTAAAACACCTAAGGCTAAATAGAGTGAGATGAAGTTCAAAATGTAAACAGAATAATTACACAGTTTTTTGGTTCATTTGATTGGTACACTCTCCTCAAAGAAAACAAAATTACTAGGTATCCTTCTTACACTTCGACATATGCAGAGTATAGACAAGGTGTAAAGCCAAGCCAACAATTGGTTTGGTTATAACAGCAAGTTCCTCTGGGAAATACAGCTTATCTCACTACATAAAACCACATCCTCGGTAAAAATAAACGAATAAGATTTACCATTAGCTATACAACAAACTAGGAGTTTAGTGTGAACCAAAGGAGTGAACTTGCAACGCCATCACACTTGGGCTACAAACAAGCATCAAGTTTTGACATGGGAAGAAGAATACCTAACTGGAGGTTTCTGCTACACTGGAATGACATCAATCTTGGAGGTATCTTCACATCTCAAAACAATACCCTCAAGGTTAGCTGGAAATATACATTTGGCCCATTGACATCCTGTTGCCAAAGGCTCCGGTGGTGGCACGATCATAAGCACGTTATCGTTTCGCTGGACAACTCCCATTACGCTAACTGTGCTGCCTTCTTTGATGTACCTACAAAAGAAGCATTACCTCATAAGAACATTTTGATCTTGCTTAGGTTAATACTATGAAGTTTTATTTTTGCCATCATTTTACCATCATGATGCATGACACAAATTGTATTCCAGCTACGTGTGAGTTACCACCAATGATTTATGTTCATAGCAACAATATTCAGTTTTCTACCTCCCCAGCACCAATGGAAAGGGATTGGCCTTAAATAAACTAGTTCATACCAACAAATGTCCTTGGAAGTTTCAGCTCTAGCCAAGGAAAAAAAAAACTTTACCCTTCTTTTAATCGCATTACACGATCATCACTTGAAAGATTTCTATTCGCTAGCCATCGAAGAAAATCAGGGGACATGTCTTTATTGGCTGGGTTGACATCAATTACGATAGAATCATCAACATAAGGCGTCACCCTTGCACCATAGCCTGTTTTAACCAGTGCTCTCAGTCCAGATTGGAAATCAGAGATGTAAAAATCCACCACGTGCCTCTGCATTAAATTAAATATAATTAAAAGCGATTTAAACAAAAAACCTCAGGTCTCAGATATTAGACTATAACTTCCAATATACACAAATTCCTCATCCGAGCAAGTCTAGCCCACATATGAGAACAATTCAAATTATTTGACCAGGCATGAAGATTCACTTTGTAATGATAACCCTAAATGCATCCAATCATAAACAACAGTATGGAGTCGATCTAGATGTCCAATGATATAGAGAAGTCTACAAAATTTAGTTCTTACCCAGTATATGCTCAAACCAGAGAAAGAAATCTAAATAAAATAATTCATCAAATTGTTAAAAAAGGACTGACTATTCAAATTACCTCAGTTGATCTGATTCCCCATGTAAAACGGTGATGCTTAGGGTTGGCTGGTTTTGAACCCCATCCTCGGTATTCATACAAACTTGTTGATGTATAGACACATCTCGGAACTTTTCCAAAGGAGGACTCAAGTGGGACATTACCGCAGGTAACCACCTTCAAAAGGCACAAATACAAATTATTGGTCCATTTCCCTCATTCATGCATATATCCCAACATAAAACAGTCACATTGATATACCAGTCAACCATTCAAGTCATGATTATGAGAAGCGATATAAGGCATGGAATTACTTATCCAATCAATGGAGGGAGAAAAACCATAAAGAGGAATCCAGAAGGTGGGTGGTTAGGCGTGAAATTGCACCAGTTCTAGGGATTAATTGCACTATACATGTATGCGTAAAATTAATTTATAACATACCCCAGAAACTTTCACAAATTGCCCGTTCTTAGCAGTTCTGAGCTCAGCATCAGGATAACGCGAGATGAAACCAACAATAGCTCTCCTCCCACAACAACTATTCCAGGTGAATAAAGCAGCAACAGCAGTAAACAGGATTACGACAACAATGAGGAGGACGGCATTGTGGACCGCTCCAAGAATGAAACCACCAGCAATAAATCCCATCACAAATATCAGAACTACAGACCACAGTATTGGCTTCGGGAAGTTCCTCATGAAGGAATATTCATCACCTTGGCCGAGTGTGGTCACAGCTGGATTGTGAGCAACTGAGGAACTATGTGATTTCAGGGAACCTGTGGACTCTAATGGACCAGACACCTTCCTTGGAGCCCCAGATGAATTCAGAGGACCAGATGTAATCAGACCGGTGGTGGGAAGAACCGGAATTGGACCAGAGTTTTGGCGCGTATACCCTCCAGATTGAGGACCGGATGACTTCTTAATTGGTTCCCCATGTTTATTCAATGGACCAGAGTTGGTCTTCTTCGAGACTGAAGCAACATTACCAGATGTAGTATAACTAGCACGAGCTGCTGCATTTGGTGTGATTGGTCCAGAATGCGAAGCAGCACCAGCAAAAGATCCAGTCCTTGAGGGAACATTATTTAATGGGCCAGATTTTCTAGATTTAGAACCATCGCCAGAGATATCAAACATTTTCCCTAATTCTCCTGACCTTTTGATGTCACCACCAGTATAAGGCATGGCAACTGAGCTCATTGTAGGAGTCCTTTCTTTTGGCTGCTCAGGCCGGCCTGATACATACAGGCCATTACTAAGTTGATGAGATGGAAATCTTGAACTCATCTGGCTTCTTCAAACTGGCCCAAAAAGAGGCACCTGAGGAAGAAGCAATATGTGTGCCGAAGTAATATTCCAAGTAATACTGCAAACAGTGAGGGCAAGGGCAATGTTAACATAATTCTTCTATAAATCCAGAGTTCAATGTACAGATATTTCGACATTTACCAAGACAAAAAGCACAGTATCCAAACCCTTGTCTTATTAAAATCTTTGAGAAATGCAACAGCGAATTTAGAGTTGAAGCTTATTTTCTTTTCGTTTGGAAAAGAACAGAGGATAATCAGAGCCAACATTTTCCATGCTATAATCAGCAAGTCAAAATAAACAAGATGATAATTAGATTCGATTAATTTGGCCAAAATATCGAAATATAATATTATCTAAAATTATAAAAATAGATCACTGCTAAGAAAGTATCAAAGCTTGCACTCACACATGCATTGAGTGTGTTTGATTCCTTCTTTTAGTCCACAATAAGGATTTTAAAAATCCCGTGATATATACAGCCATCTCTTCTCTACAGTAAATTCAATCATCCTACCAACAGCCCACCTCTACTAATCTTTCTAATAAAAGGGAAAACATAGAATAGCTAGGTCAGTCTTATAAAAGCATCTAGACCTTCAGATTCATATTAAGGACTGAACGGTAAAATACTTTAATAGGGACCAAAATATGAATTTAATATAGCGGCTCTCCAACATTTTCCATGAACAGAATAACACATCGCCACAGTAACAATGGAAAATGAGCAGATAATTAAACAAAATTGAATATGTTATCGGCGGATCTGACCCAAACAGAGATTTCGGTCCCAAAGCAGTACAGATCTCTGAAAATTACGCTAAAGGTAAGGAAAACCAAAAAAGGAAACTTGGTCCGAGATCCAGACATCTTTCTAGACTAATATTACATGAAAACGGCATTGTAATGTCTGTAAAAAAAGGATGAAGCCCTTGTTCTAAAATAGAATTGATTCCACCTGTAAATTTTTTCAGTACACACGTAGCACAAAAACAGACAGAAAAATTAGTGACAATAAAAAGTTACCCCTACTAGAATGAGATTGAGAATTCTTACTAATTACAAACGAGAAACGTACAACAGAAACCTAATCATCATGAAAAAAGAAAGAAAACAATTCAAATTTCACATCTCGAATCTCGAATTAAAGAACAAAAGAAATCCAAACGCTTAGTTGAACAGTATAGATGCAATGAAGATCTACACAAAGGAGGAGAAACTTTATGGTGAATGGAAGCTAAAAAATGGGAAGAAAGAAGATAGGAAGGAAGAACAGAAAATGAGAGGGTGAGCAAGAAAGAGAAGAGTACCCGAGGAGGAGGAAGAAGAAGACGGGAAGAAGGAGGATGAGGAAAAGTGGATCAGAGAGAGCAGTGGCAATGGCGGTGGCAGTAGAGGTGGTTGTGGTGGTGGTGGTGGCGGTGGTGGTGAGTGAGGGTCTGAGATCCCATCTTCAGAGCACTCGCCATCTCTGAAATATTTGTTTGGCTTCCGGTTGTGTTGTGAGTGAGTAGCACTATAAGAAAAAAGGAAAGGCCCTCTCTCTCTTCAAAGAGCCGCAACAACTGGTAGGTTGTCTCGTCCGGCCAGAACCACCAAACTGACCAATAGATATTATTACTACTACTATTATTCTTATTTACTCCTTTTTTTATAACATTTCAACTATTTTCTTAAAAACGCCCCTTCGATGGATAACCATGCTATAAAAAATCAAATGAAATGATCATCAAAAAAACAAATCAAATGAAAGGAAAAAGGGAGAATGACAGAAAAAAACTAGAAATTACAAATCTCAAATCAGATTTGATAACACAATTTTGTTAGGTATTGACAATTCTAAATTTGTAAATGATAACAAATTTTTGTTAATATTTTTTAGTTTTAGTATTACAAATTTTCAGCTTTTTTTTTTTGTTATTGTCCTAAGAAAAAAGACCAAAAAAATAATTTTCAAAAAACAACTAATACTCTTCTCAATCCTAAATATAAAACATATTTTGTAGTGTAAATTACACTATAAAATAAATCTTATATTAGAACAAGAAAAATATACTTATTTGTTATTCTCAAATTCAACGAGCGAAGGAAGTGGTAAGTGATCTATTTTTTTGGTGAAAAACTAGTATTTGTCTATTTGTACTGCCTTTTGATTAAAGTAATGCTCTTTTCTTTAATACTTTTTGACCATGTTGGTAAGAAGCATTGAAAATGAGGGATTGTGATTGATATTGCGATTAAAAAAAAATCTAAATAGATTTAGCATGAGTAATTATTTATTATATGGGATTAGACAAACTCTATAAGGGGGACGGAAAATACCACTTCCTCTTGTGTATTCTCCAGTCCCACATACAGGATTTGACTAATCTCATATTACAAGCAATCTCTTATACTAAACACTCTTTTAATAGATTTTTTTCAATTGCAATCATAATCCCAATCTTTATTTTCAATGTTGCCTATCAAACGCAACTTTAAGTAATACTACCTCTGGTCCTTAATATAATACCCTGTTTAACTTTTATTTTGGTTCTAAATATAAGACCCCAAATCATTGTCTCTCATACTTATACATTTTTTTTCAAAGTAGCCCTTTTAACAATGATAGTTTTAGTCAATACACTTGATTAGTAAAGATATTTTAGGAAAGACAACACCTATTTAGGATAAACTAACTCAACTTATTTTTTTTAACCTCCTCAAATTAATCAACTGGCTTTATAATTAGGCGGATGGAGGTAGTATGAATTTTAAAAAAATTCAAATAGGTGCTCGTTCCTTAAAATTTTTGGGGTGAAAATTACAAGAAAGTATGATCATGACCACGCGAAATCATATATGCATGAAGATTCATGGGTCGCTGTGAGACTTGGGTGACTAGTTATTTTTTTAACACTTGCAAGGCGATATTGAGAAAAGAATTCTAAATTTTAGGCATATTTGATCTCAATTTGTGTAAAAATTTGTTCTGAAAATTCACCATAAACAGTTTTTTCTAAAAAAAATTTAGCTTCAATGTTGTCCTAAAAATTTCAAAATGTAACAATATTGTTGTTTATAGTTAAAAATGTTAACAGTTAATATTAGTATTTTAACAAGATAGGACAACATTACTATGTTTTGAATTTTGGAGACAACATTGTTCTTCTTGAATGAAAATTTTTTTTAAAAAAATTTACATCTCAACTCTTGTTTCATTTATTATCAACTTTTAATTATTTTCTCAAAAGCACTCATCTCGAAAGTCAATAAATTCTTGATATAATTATGGATAAAAAGTGAAATAAATAAATGTAAAATTTTAGTTACTTTTAATTCACTTGTTCTTTTCATTTTTTTCCAAATATTTATATAATTAATTAATCTAGATGATTAAACTTTCATTATCTCAAATCCAGATTTTGCATAATTAGTAAATTGTTAGACTAATTTTATTAAAAAAACTTGTTGATTGTTTGAATCTGGCATCCATTACTGTGTTATGTATGTCGTTTACTTCAGATTTTAAAATAACGCTAGATGCCAGACTAGATTACTTAATATAGTAAACGGCGCCGTATGATGATAGACATAAGTTAAAATAAGTAATAACTAATAAAAGATGCATCTTGTAATGAAATTAAAATAAGTCAATCAACAGACAAACATTAATTTAATTAATTTTTTTAATTTATCTAAATTAATTGAGTAAATTTTATAGTAAGATTAATTTTTTTCCTTCATTGCCAACATTTTAAATATTTCCTTAAAAAACACACACACACACACACACAAAGTGTAATGGCATGCTATAGCCAACTTGTTTGACTCCCTTTTTTCTTCTTTTTTTTCCCCTTTTTAAACATTTGCTTTGCCCTAACTTTTGTTAATTTTTAAATCAATCTCTCTTCCCTTCTCATTTGCTGTGAAATGTGAACGTGATTGCAAATTTTGTGGAAAATTGAGATTTTGAATAGTGATTTCTTTTTTTATTGTATGGTGAATTATTATTTGTAAATTTAACAATTATACTCCTCTGGTCCTGAATATAAGACCCCTTTTATAGTGTAATTTTACACTACAAAAGGGATCTTATATTTAGGACCAGAGAAGTATAATTTATTTTTGTAAATCATGCTTGTGGTTATAAGATTTTTAATTTTCTCATAAAAGTATATTTTTATTTTTATAAAATGAGTGAGATCATTTTAGCCTACTATCTCATATATAAAGGGTTGGAATGAGATGATTTGGATGATTTAAAAAAAAAAAAAGTTAGATGGTTCAAATCCTACCATAATGATGAGAACCACCTCAATATGTTTAGCATGAAAACAAACTTTCAACAAAACCCTTCCCTACATCATAGCCCATCTTTTGTGATGTTATAAAATTTTAAGAAAAGTTAATTCACAGTTTCTTATAGTTTATTTTAATTTTAAATCAAGTTCCTGGAATTTTCTTTGTTTTTATTTAACATTGTTTAACACTAGTGTTTTTCTATAAATAAAATCGGTTAAAATTGCTTCTAGTACTCCTTGATTTTTTTTCAATTGCATTCAACACCCTACTCTTATTTATGATTTAGGGTATTAGATATATTATAAATAAGATCCGGATGTTAGAAGCACTAAAAATAGCATCATAATGCTAGATACATTATAAATAAATTATGGTGCTAGATATTACTGAAAATAATATCAGAACGCTAAATACTACCCTGCCCAATAAAATTTCATAAAGTTTATAATTTTTAAATTGGTTAAAATTGCATCTAGCACTCCTTGATTTTTTTTTAATTGCATCCAACACCCTGCTCTTATTTATGATTTAGGGTATTAGATATATTATAAATAAGATCCGGATGTTAGAAGCAATAAAAAATAACATCATAATGCTAGATACATTATAAATAAAGTTATGGTGCTGGATATTACTGAAAAATAATATCAGAATGCTAAATACTACCCTGCCCAATAAAATTTCATAAAGTTTATAATTTTAAATTACCAAATCAAATAATAAAAACCCAATTCAAACAAAATAAACTAGAGGAACCTGATTTAAAATTAAACTAAACTATATAGACATGTGAATTAATTCTCCCATAATTCCAAATAAGATCAACTATTTAATGCTAACAAAGTTACTATTTTCTAGGGTAGTAGTAAGAAGGCAAAACCAAAAGCCAGCGTGAAGTGGTTGGTGAACTCATACAACATAACGGCCATAAAAACATGAACATGTAGGACACATATCCACACCTTCAAGCTTTGCGTCTCTTGCAAGACATATCATTCCTCTTTGTGACCAAATCAATCCTCATTTTCACACCATCCTTCCCCCCTACCACCTAATTCCTCTTTTTAGCATCCTTCCTTCTATATCTCAATCAAATATTTCACATTTTTAATATAAAAGTTAATATAATTTTTAATTTCTTAAGTGTGTTCTCATTTTGGTTTTCGTCCTTCAAATTTCAAATCATAAGTTTTGGTTCCTCAAATTTTTTTTATTTAAAATATTAGTCCCTATAATTCAATAAAAACATGGATCATTTTGCCTCTAAAGGAGCCAAAACATATGGTTTGAGATTGGAAAGACTAAAATCAAAATAAAGACAAGTTTGAGAGACAAAAAATTATATTAACCCTAATCTAAATACAAAACATCTCATTTGTAAGGGGTAAGTGAGAGGTTACAAATTTGATCCTATTCATAATATCACGCCTTAGTACATGCCCCTTTTTTTATTAAAAAAATGAACATATCTGCCAATATATCCTTTGATAATATCCTTGCTTTTCGTTATCATGCACAGTTTCAAGTTTTTCTTTATTTTCACATCATTATTTCACAAATGGGCAATTGATACTTAATTTAATTCCCACAGCTTTAAGTAACCTTTTCTTGAGTTGGCAAAAAAAAAAAAAAAGTAACCTTTTTCTTGAAGAAATCCTCATCCAGTGGGCTTGCCTGAATTAATGCTATTTGTTGAATCAGTGTGCAATAAAACTGTGATTAAAATATTATTAAGACATTATGCCAAAAAAAAAATTATCAACACAAATCATAATGGAAAATAACCTAAAACCACTCGTAATTTCACAGTCAAAATTATTGACGGTGTAACTAGGATTTATTAGGGGGACCGTACCGTGATTAACAACATACACAGTATAAAGTTTGTATAATTTTGGGAAAATTAATTATTGTATTTAGTTTTCCGAACTTTAACTTAGTGCAACCAGTTCTTAAAATTTTGACTCGTTTAAAATTTAATCGCTAAATTCTGACTAAGTGTAATTTAGTGTCTGTATTTTTAATCATTTAAAATGCTACTCCTTATATTTTAGGAAATAAAATTAAGCTAAAATTTACAAAAACCCTTAAATTTTAGGTCAGTTATACATAACCCTTTTGATATTTTAAAATTCAAACTTAACCTTCTTGAAGTTCTTACCTTTTGATGTTGAACGCTGTGGTTACTTTTGCATTTAAAAATGAGGTACA